GAGAGAGAGAGAGAGAGAGAGAGAGAGAGAGAGAGAGAGAGAGAAAACATTTTTTTTCAGGGGAAACGTATTCTTCGGTGAGGCTAAGCGTAGACAGAAAAATGCAGAACACTATTTTATTGTTGGTAGAGTCTAGGGGGACCAGGATTTTGGTCCACGAAGACTGCGTGTCTAGGGGGACCAGGATTTTCGTCCACGGAGATTAACATTGCGATCTTTTCATTCAAAACTTGGGTGGGTTATTTTGAGAGAGAGAGAGAGAGAGAGAGAGAGAGAGAGAGAGAGAGAGAGAGAGAGAGAGAGAGAGAGAGAGAGAAAGGAAGAGAGAGAGAGAGAGAAAGGAAGTGAGAAAGAAAGAAAGAGACGGAGAGAGAGAGGGAGAGAAAAGGGCATGTGAGAGAGAGAGAAAAGGGGGGGGGGCAGAGCGTGAGAGAAAATTGGGATGAATAAGTGTACATGATACAAAGGGAGCGATTTAGAGAAAAATGAATAGGACAATAATAATGTGCATGCTCAGACTTGTTCTGCGTGCAGACGTGAGTGAGTGAGTACATTTTTAAGCTATTCTTCAAAATATTGTCCAACGAGCAACGAGGCGACCGTCCCTGCCATTTGGGAAAACGAAATGACAGCTGGAAGCAGAAGGAAATGACTCGTGAGGTCACGCATGCGCAAAGCAAAATATTTTCATGGTCCCCCCTAGACCGTGTGTATCTGTGGACCAGGATCCTGGTATCGGAAGACACTTCCAACTTTAAAATAGTAGAGGTTTTACGGCGCTCGCAACTGCATAAGGTCATATGAGCGCCAGAAGATTAGAGGTGTCTAAAGAGAGTAACAAACGTAAAAAAAAGAAGGGGAGATATGGACGATAGATGTTTCATAGGAAAGAAGGAGCAGACCACACCAGAGCACCCACCAACCACCCACTTCGTTTGTTTGAGTAAAGAGAAGCACATCGACGCAAAATTATGGTAATTTAGTGCTGGGAAAAAGTAAGATAGAAAGACAGAAACAACAGAGGGGAAGTAAAGAAGTAAGACCTACCAGTAGCGCCCTCCAACCACTCACCTGGAGATGAACCCTGCATGACCCGTGATGAATGAGCCGAGTCCTACCTTGCCTCCCGCCGTGGCCCCCGCCGGCCACCCATTAGACGGGCCGGTGCCCTCCACACAGGCAAAAGCGACCCCTGAATGACCCCTGAATGACTGGAGTCTTACCTTGCACCCAGCCGGCCACCCATTAGACGGGCCGGTGCCCTCCACACAGGCAAAAGCGACCCCTGAATGACCCCTGAATGACTGGAGTCTTATCTTGCACCCAGCCGGCCACCCATTAGACGGGCCGGTGCCCTCCACACAGGCAAAAGCGACCCCAAAAGTCCTACCTTGCCCCCCGCCGGCCACCCATCAGACGGGCCGGTCCCTTCCACACAGGCAAAAGCGCCGCTGACATCATCATGGGTGCGCTCCAGTGCCGGGAAACACGACAGGTCGGGCTCGGTGCTGCTGGGGCGGCTGGGATCCTCCATCTCAATGCTCTGGGATAATAATAATAGATAGCTTTTGTATCACAATCTATACTATTACCCCAGCAGACCTGAGAGCATTCTGAAACAAGCTCAACTTCCTGAAAGCATAGAGTGCACGCAGCCATTTATAGGCACTAAAACACTAACATACTGACAAGATCTTTCTCTGTATACGGCCGGGTACCCATTTCCACCTGGGTGAAGTGAGCAAAATCCGTGTAGAGTGCCTTTCCCAAGGACACAACGTCAGGCCCGCGGCTCTAACCCCCGACCCCGCAACCTCACGATTACGAGTCCGGTAGCCTAACCACTAGGCCACCGACGCCACATACGCTGATGGAGTACGCTGGTTTGTTTGAGCAAAGAGAGGCTCATTGAAAAATGTGAATAAGAGGGCGCTCTGTGACTGAACGCTTGTTTGTTAGAGTTTGAGGT